CAAGGACTGAATGTGAGAATGAAAGAGAGGTGTGTAAAATGACAAACAAGAGAGTGAAAATTAGAGCAAAGATTCTGGAAGAGGTGCAGGGGAATTTTCTGACTTTCCCTTCTTTTACTCAAATTCTCTCTTATTGCTAATGCCACAGGCTACCACCACAGACCACACTGCTAAGCCTTCATCACTGCAAACAGATCTCAGTTTGGAAGGTAAGGAGGATGCAGGATGAACTCTGCCCCACTGCCCCTTGCCTTGGTTCCTCTCCAACCTTACATTTTACCAGGCTGGTGCCAACAAAAATCAGCAATCAGATCTTTGGGGAGAAGGAGAGGGTAATAGAATACCTTTCTGGCAGCAAGGTTACCTGTTAAAAGAGGAAAATTTTGGTCTACCAATAGAGTGCTGACTGAAAGACCAGCATACCCAAGGCAGTCAGCTACAGGACATTGTGAAAACACTACATTTAAACTTCCAAACAGTCAGGCACATTGGCACATGAAACTGGGGAGGGAGGCCTGAAGTAGGAGGATCACAAGTTCAGTGTTAGCCCTCAGCAACTTAGTAAGACCCTATCTGAATAGTAAAAATAAACAGATTGGAGATTTCGCTCAGTGGTTAAGCACCCCTAGGTTCAATCCCTGACAGAAAGAAGAGAAAAACAAAAAACAAAACAAAATGAACAACCCCCCCCAAAAGTCTACAGAAACCCATCATTAATGGCTCCTTTTAGCTGCATATTAAATATAAGACTACATTTTAATCTCCGTTTAAAAAAATCTAAATGTGGGGCTGGGGTTATGGCTCAGCTGTAGAGTGCTTGACTCACACGTGCAAGGCCCTGGTTTCGATCCTCAGCACCACATATAAATAAATTAATTAATTAATTAAGTTATAAAAAAAAATTAAATACAAATAAAAAAACCTAAATGTATTCTCCCTCTTAGAAAATGTTTCCTGGGCTGGAATTGTGGCTCAGTGGTAAAGCGCTCGCCTGGCACATGCGAGGCCCTGGGTTCGATCCTCAGCTCCACATAAAAAATAAATAAATAAAATAAAGGTATTGTGTCCAACCACAACTAAAAAATAAATATTAAAAAAAAATGTTTCCTGCCACCCTTCCAGTTACCCCTTTTGAAACCGTTTCAGCAATTAAACAAAATAGTGTTCAATGTTTTTCACCCCTGACAGATCAAGAAACTTATTTCTTAATTTAAAAACAAACAGCTAAATTTTTATTAAGAAGAAAACCATGCCAGCGTATTGGAGACAATTATCACTTGTGCCTTACTAGTAGAAAAGATTTAAAAAATGGATTTAATACTTTTTTTTTTGACCAAGTTTACTTTTCAAAAGCAGCATATCCCTTCACTTCTGAATCATTTATCAAATCAATAGTGTTGGGCTGGATTTGTGGCTCAGTGGTAGAGAGCTTGCCTGGCACACGTGAGGCATTGGGTTTGATCCTCAGCACCACGTAAAAATAAATAAAATAAAGGTATTGTGTTCATCTACAACTAAAAAAAAATTTTTTAATCAATAGTGTTTAGTAAATGACAGTGGACCATCTATTCAAAATAAAATACAACAACCGGGCACAATGGGTAATCCCAGTGGCTTGGGAGGCTGGAGCAGGAGGATAGTGAGTTCAAAGCCAGCCTTGGCAAAAGCAAGGCACTAGCAACTCAAGTGAGATCTTGTCTCTAAATAAAATACAAAATAGGACTGGAGATGTAGCTCAGTGGCGGAGTGTCCTTGAGTTCAATCCCTGGTACCCCCCCAAAAAATTAATTAATTAGATACAATGTATGTGACTACATGTGTTTAGATTTTTATAGCATTTCTGGATTCCTGTCACATCTGAACCCCCAAACAGTGGTTTTTCTTTTTTCTTGTCCTCCTTCCTCATATTCTCTTCATAATAGAGACAAAAACAGGACTACAAAGGTAAAAGCCTTATATTTTTACAGGAAGATGACTGAGGGAATTTTAAACTAAAACTGACAAATTAAGAGTACTGAAAAATCAATTACATCATGTTAACAATATTATGTGCAGGAAAAAAAGATGGAGTAATTCATCCTAATCATTTTAAATATAAGAGTTGGAAACGGGGGGGGGGACACGACGACACACAATGGCATATACCTGTAATGCCAGCTACTGCCTCAAGAGGCTGAGACAGGAGGTTCACAAGTTCAAGGCCAGTTTGGGCAATTTAGTGGGACCTGTCTCAAAATAATAAATAAATAAATAAAAAGGGTTTGGGAAATAGCTCGCTGGTAGACCACTCCTCAGTAACCCCCCCCCCAAAAAAAAGAAAGAAAAAGAAAAACAGTGGTCTTTTAGTATATAAGAACTCACTCCATACTTAAGACAAAAGGTACAGTGTAGTGTTATATTTCATCCCACCTGCTATATAAACAAAAATTGGCTCTACTAGAAAACATCCATATTTGAGAAATGTTAAGTACAGTAAAACAAAAAATCATATGTTCAAAACTAACAGAGGAGTTAAGTATTTACAACTAATTTACGTTTTTAAAAAGTTGAAAGCTAACATGAATCAATACCTTGCATTCTCTTTTTCCCTTTCCAGGGGGAATAAGAAGCAGATTCAAGAATCTATGTCAGCAGGACAGTAAGTTTTGTCACTTTCACTGAACACAAGATATTTTTAAATCTCTAATATGATAAAATTAATGCTAAGTACATTAAAACTAAAACATTTACATGCATTTTGCCATTCAAGTGATTTAAAAAAAATACTTCTACTTTTTGTGACAATCTGTCTCTTTTGAGAACACTAATCCTAAGTTTAGGAAAATACTCCACTATAAAATGCTTTTATTCCAAATCTCATCACTCATAGAATTTTGCTAGACACATCAATTAACCAAAATCCAGCTTGCCAGCACCCCCAGATAACCAAAAGTTAGGTTTTGACACAATTTTCAAGAGAAAAACAGCAAATCTCTAGAAAACAAATTGATCTCAGTATTTTCAAAGTCCTGGTCCCGTTATTCAGCAAAACTCAAGGACATAGAACAGATCTTCAGCCCATTAATCTTACCTGGCAAGTCACCAAGCTGACTGTGGTGGCCAGGTCAGTGTTCCCAAGTTTGCTGAGATTTCCAGAAGGGTTAAAGCAAATAGTGGAAGGCCTTCTTTAGGCTTAGGGGCTTTTCTTTAAAATTCTTTCTCCTCTTCCCTTCTGGACTTTTCCCCTCCAACTTTTTAGCTTACAGCCAAGCAAATTCACCACGGAAATCAGAAGACTTTAGCAAATGAAAAGCAAATTCTCCAAAAAAACAATGAGGCTCCAAGCCCACCTTTTAAGATTATCTAAGGCACAACATCCCATGAAGGGCAATAAATCACCAATGATGATTAAGGATGATATTATAAAGAGACAAATGAGAACGGTGGGAACAAGGGGTTAAGAGAATAATTCTATAAAATGAGTCTACTATGCTGCTCTCCCACAAGCTTTCTTTGCCAAAAAGCAATCTGCTTGTAGCCCTGCCTGGCCGGAGTGGACAGGAAATGTCACATTCCTCAGCAAACCGAGGCAGAGTGCCAAGGTCAGGTAGTAAGTGTAGGAATAAATGATCCAGTGAAAAGATGAGGGCTGAAAAGACAATGGGTTGCTAACAGTTACCTCCGGGATTACACTCCTGGGCCCAACAGGTTGCTAGAGATAGCCCCAGTGCTCCAGTTCCTTCCCACCCTTAGGCTACTGGGAGAAGAGAGAAGGTAACGATTAAAAGGGAGATTCTAGGATCTGTAAAAGAGCAAGTCACAACCACTTCCACGGACACCCAGCTCTAGGATCCCTTCTCTTAGGAGAAGTCTGTTGCTATATCTTTTCTTTAAAAAAAAAAAAAAAAACTTGTTTTCTACACTTGCGTAGGCGGTTCTCAGGTGTTTAATTTTCAACATCGGGGAACAAGGACCCTCTCCTGATCTCCAAGACCGGTATCAGTATTCTCTTCAACCTCTGAAGAAATAACCAATGTATTTAACATCTTCTATGTGCTACAACTCAAAAATATATATACATATTTTGGAAACTTTTTTTTCAGTTCTTGAAAGTGAAGAGTTTCTTCTATTCAAATTAATCAGAACCAGAACACATTACTTAGTCATCAAACTTTTTATTGTCTTTACCTAAAATTCTTCCTCCAAATTATTTAAAATTTTCTTCTATTTAGGAATTAGCTTCTACAGTACTTTCTACTATGCCAGAAGACAGACTGACAACAGTAAATGACCATTTCAGAAGGAAAAAAAACCTAACAGTCAAAACTCACCCCCATTCACTGCTTTATATTGTATCTATGTACAAATCTGTTTTCCAAACAGGAAGAAGGAGGGATGGCTGTCTCTTAACCACCTAATTTCCCACAGCTTCTTACACGAAGCTTTGAAGTAGTGGACATCCAATGAATGCCTATTTAGTTATTAAACACTTCAGTGTTTAATAACAAGTTTGGGCATTCCAAAATACTGACTCCACCCCTCGAGTCAGCCGCCGGCTCCCGAATCCAGATCGCCCATGGCCTTTCTCTGATGAAATGAAACCTCTTCGCTCAAGAAGACACAGGATGGGGGCAAGAGAGCCACCCGACTTCCTCCCGCAGGGCACCAGATTCTCTATTCACTTCGTCAAGCTGCAGGTCGGGAGGCCTTTCCCACTCCATCCCGTTAAGCTATGTCTGCGTCCGGAGATCCGCAGGGGAACGAGCCCCCGCCCCACCCGGCAGGCAGACAGCCTGGCGTCGGGACACTGGGGACGCCTGCGCAGAAGAACCCGCCTCCCACCCGCCGAGCCCCTCGGATCCGAAGGGTAACAATACCCCCTTCTGAAAGACAGGCGGGATAGGCCGGGGACACCAATACGCGTCCGCAAGCTCCCTGACGCCTTGGCGCGTCTCGGGTGCTCAACCGTCTTCAGGTGCCGCGCTCGCGCCATCATACTCTTGCTGACAGGGTCGCCTCACCTGAGCCGGGCTCCGCCCCCCTTCTCCCCGCTGGAGGAGGCGGTGACCCTTCTCCGATCCGACCCGATAGTGTCGGAGGAGGCGGGAACGTCCAGACTGGCGTCTCCGTGATGGGACTTCCTCTCCCTTCCGCCCGCCCCCCGCCCGCCCCTCCTTTCGTTCTCTCAGCTCCTTCTGCCGGTTCGCCGCGACTCTCTGTGAACACCGCGGCGGCGGCCGACAGTAAACGGAAGTGACGCAATGCAAGATCACCTACTCCGCTCTATTTCTCCTCCCCTACGACCGGGATGCAACCAATCATCAAAGGGGAGGGCGGAGCCGGGGTGGAGTGCAGCCAGTCTCCCGCGGACCCGGAGGAATTTACTCGGCCCCCTGAAAAATTGACCAATCCACAGTCCCAAGAGCCCGGCTCTGTTTACTACCGACCGAATCCGTGAGCGCTCTGGCCAATCACCGTTTGCCTTAAAACTGTTATCAAATGCCTTTAAGGCGGGATTTATCACTAAGCAACTCCGGGTTTGGACTATAGAAAAGTGACTGTGTGCCACAGCCAATCAAAATCCGCTGTGGCTAGACAAGCGGGTTTTCCGCCTAATTCTGCCAATCATAATCACCACTGCTTGAGGGCTGAATGCTCCCGGGAGGCGGGCCTGCAGGGTAGTACGTCCCGCACTTGCCTGGTCCTAAACAGTTTTTTCCATCCTCGCAGCGCTGGCCCTTCGGTTCTTTTGTGCTCCTTCTTTGAAGTGAATTCGCTTGGCGAAATCCACGCACACGGTGGGAAGTTGTTCCCAGCACATAGATGGCGGAAAAGATAAAACGAAGTCCCAAGGAGCTGTTTAGGTTAAGCCAAATCCATGCTTAAAAGGCCGAATTTAAAAAATGCCTTTCATCTGATGACAATTAGGTGGGACTATGCCCCACGTCCACTCAGGTTTGGCGGCCAGTCTGGAAACGGCGGCCCCTGTAGATCCTGGCAGGTGGGTCCAGATTTCTGAGTCCGGGTCTTGACTGTGCATTCCGTGTCCCAGATCATGCAACCTTGTAATCTCCAGAACCAAGTTTATACTCGGCCACCCCTCAACAAAAATTGGAAGCGCTAAGCTTTCCCAGCAATGTCACAGACGTGAAAGGGTCGCAAGGTCAGAAACGACCAAGCTCCGGGATTGGTGCCAGGCTCCCAGGTGCAAGCTGGATGGAGAACGCGAACGCTGACCCAGATGGGTCGCCGCGGCCCCGCCAGGGCGCCCGGCTCTGCTACGCGGGAAGAAGCCCTCCTTTCCCTAGGGAAAGATGAAGATGAAAGCCCTAGGGGCCTTGTGCAGGAGCTGTCCGGGAGCTCTGCGTGGCCCGGGAGACAAAGGCTCGCGAATGCAGCTGATTTCTTTGCGGTTGTTGTTGTTGGTGGTGGAGAGCCTGGATCCCAGGACTTCCTTAAAGTTGAAACTCCCAGATTTCTAATGTTACTTAACACCCAAATATCATTTCAGCTGATTGCATCCCTCAGTTTGGGTTTGTTTATTTAAAGCCTCGATAAAGTGTGATGGTCAGTTTTGTTCAGATTCCCTAATATTTTATGGTTAGTACGCATATATATATCACCATATTGGGTAAATAGATAATATGGAATGTTGACAATAAACCAGGCACTATAGGAGATCCTTAAGCATATGGGCCTTATAATAATTATGTGGCCTAGGTACTATCTCAAATTTACAGACTGTCAAAAGTTAAAATGACTTGTAAGTGAACACCCTTCCAAATTACTGATGGGGATATCACTGATGCTCTCTTTGAAGATAATATGGTAATCTCCATCGAAATTTAAACCTGGTGCGGCAGCAGGTTCCTATATTCCCAGCAACTTCAGAGGTTGAGGCAGGTGGATCACAAGTTAGAAGCCAGTCTGGACAACTTCGTGAGACCCTGTCTCAAAAATAAACAAACAAAAACGGCTGGGGGGCTGGGGTTGTAGCTCAGTGGTAGAGCGCTTGCCTTGTATGCGGAAGCACTGGGTTCGATCCTCAGCACCACATAAAAATAAATAAAATAGAGATATTGAGTCCATCTACAACTTAAAAAAAAAAAAACAGCTGGGGATTTAACTCAGTAGTAGAGCGCTCAATCCTTATACATTTTTTAAAATACTCATTCTTTCCCTTCTAATTGGCATTTTCTATAAATGATTTCTATTATAATTTCTATTGAAATACACAAATTTGGAAAAATACATCTGAGGCTGTACACCAGAGCTTTGTTGGAGGAAAAAAAGAAAAGAACTGGGCATGATAACATACACATGTAATTTCAGCTACTCAGGAGGCTGAGGCAAAAAGATTGCAAGTTCCAGGCCAGCAAGTTTGAGGCCAGTCTGAGCAATTTAGCAAGACCCTATCTCAAAATTAAAAAAAAAAAAAAAAAAAGGACTGGGGATGTGGGGATGTAGCTCAGTGGTAGATAGCTCCTGGATTCAATCCCCAGTACTGCAAATAAATAAATGACTCTATAACTTTCATTTGTTTTTCTGATTAGTTTCCTTCTGTTTATGTTCCTAAATCTCCTTCTTAAGAATTAAGATGGGCCTGGGCAGGCACACTGGCTCTGGAGGCTGAGACAGGAGGATCTTGAGTACAAAGCCAGCCTCAGCAAAATCGAGGTGCTAAGCAATCCAGTGAGACCCTGTCTCTACATAAAATATAAAATAGGGCTGGGGATGTAGCTCAGTGGTCCAGTGTCCCCAAGTTCAATCCCTGGTACAAAAAAAAAAAAAAAGGAATTTAAGATGGTGTATAAATTCTTAACTTCAGCTGTTTGGAGACCTTCTTCATTGCGTGTTCCCATTCCCATACACATTTTTTTCTTGTGAATCTTTTTCAGTTAATTCATAGGCCTTCAGTCACTGGATCTGAGTTGGTAGAGAAAAAAGTTTTTTTTCCTCCCAACTATTAAAATTACAAATACAAATACCTTCATTCTCAGTGATTAAACTTTTAGGACTTTATCATACAGATTTACACACGTATAAAATCACATATAGGGCTGGGATTGTGGCTCAGTGGTAGAGTACTTGCCTAGCACGTGTGAGGTCCCGGGTTCGAACCTCAGGACCACATAAAAATAAATAAAATAAAGATATTGTATCCAACTACAACTAAAAAATAAATATTAAAAAATATTTTTAAATCACATATACATAAAGTTATTTACTATAGCATTGTTTGTTCCACTAAAAAATCCAAAATAGGCTAAATAGCTATTATAAGCACTCCACTCTCATGACCTCATTTAGAAATAATTACCTTCCAAAGGCCCCAGCTCCTAATCAATACCATCACATTAGAGGGTAGGACTTCAACATATGCATTTTGAATGGGATTATGACAGTGTTTGTGCCTAGTAAGAATTAGGCATAGTGATATATGCCTCTGATCCCAGCATCTTGGGAGATTGAGAAAAGAGGACTTCAAGTCTGAGGTCAAGCTGGGCAAATTAGTGAGACTCTGTTTCAAAATAAAAGTAAAAATGGGCTTAGTATGTAGCTCAGTAGTAGAGTGTCCCTGGGTTAAATCCACAAAGGGAAAAATAAAATACACCAGATTTCTTTTTCCCATGTGAGGATGTAATAAGACAGTCATCTCCAAGGCAGGAAGGAGACCTTCACCATGAACCAAATCTTCCTTGATCTTGGCCTTCCCAGACTCCAGAACTGTGTTGATCTTGGCCTTCCCAGACTCCAGAACTGTGAAAACAAATGTTTAAGCCACACACTTTATAGTGTTTTGTTTTAGCAGCCCCAGTAAACTAAGTCATATTTACCACAAGGCAACCAGTGAATTAAACCAATAGTGGAAATAAAATGCAATACTAAAAATTTCAATTAACCCTTAAGGATGAAGAAAAAAGGAACAAAAAGACCCTTTTTTTTGTCAACTCAGTCAGACCCTGTCTCTAAATAAAATGTAAAAAAATGGCTGGGGATATGGCTCACTAGTTAAGTGCCCCTAATGCCAAAAAACCAAACAACCCCTCAAAAAAACTTTAATGCTAAAAATGCTAAAGATTGTCTTAGTCTTCAGTGAGACATAATCTTTGTTTCTGTTTAAAAAAAAATTGCAAGGGAGATGTGACTTAGCAGAAGCAAAGTTAGGAATTTTTACTTGTTGTTGCCCCAAACAAGTTAACTGAGAATTATAGATGCTCACAATAAATGTACATAATGGAGAAGCATGGAGTAGAAGAAGAGAAGTGATGGGTTATCTCTATTCTGTGCTTCCCAGTCAGAGCTAGAGTATTTATTGACCCATGTGGGGCCCCACAGAGTGAAGAGGATCCAGATATACTGGAGCATGTCCAGAAGAGGTGACCAGGATATCAGAAGAGGAAACTACAGATTTTAGTTGGGGGTAACACCTGAAAATATGGAAGGAATTGCTGAGGCAGGAGAGGAGCAGGTAAATGAAAAGCATAAGAATATTCAGGTTTTGAAGAGGTCAGGATAGAGAAGCTGGTTGTATTCTGCATGACCCTGGACAGAAGAACTGGAAAGCTACAGAAGGCAGATTCAGTTCCTCGTAAGAAAAAAAAAAAAAAAATCCTGTCCTGCCTTATAAAGAGCAAATTGCTTGTAAGTACACACACAGTCTTCATCAGTCATATGAAGGTAGAGAAAGAGAATATTAGAAGAAAGAACATAAGAGGGGGACAAACAGATGAAAATAAAGGAAGAAAAAGAGGCAGAAGTGCAAGAAAGGAAATGAAGAGGAGAGATGGAAGTAGCACTTTTCAGAATACAGTGTGAGTCACTGCAAGTAGAATCTGCCTTGCCTTTTCAAGTCTTCATTAGCCATATCCTGAAATACCAGCAGATGGAGATATTTCTCTGAGAATGGAGAACTTTGCTTCTCTTCAAAAATCAAGTCTTCCTTCTCTGAAAGATGCTAAGAAAGAATTCCAGATGTCTCTGAATTTCCAAAATAAATTGATGAACATTTAATGTAAATAATAAATATAATTGTTATTATTTTGGTACTGGGGATGGAACCCAGGGGTGCTTAACCACTGAGCCACATCTCTAGCCCTTTTTATATTTTGTTTTGAAGCAGGGTTTTACTAAGTTGCTGAAGCTGGCTTTGAACTCACAATCCTCCTGCCTCAGCCTCCCAGGTAGGTGGGATATCAGGCATGTACCACCAGGTCTGGCAACATTTTATGTAAATTCTACCTGTGATTATTTATGATTTTA